TTTCCCCGTTCCCATTTTTCCCATTTCTCCATTCCCATTTCCCCGTTTTTCTCCCCATTTTTCTCATTTTCCCCATTTTTCCCATTCCAGCCCCTGCAGCGGTTGCCGTGGGAGAGCACGGCCACGCTCCGGAACGTTCCGGTGACGCGGCTGCCGGGGCTGCGCTTCCTCCTGCGCCACGGCCGCGCCCTAAAGGTACGGGGTGGGATTTGGGGTCAGGGTTTGGGGTTTGGGGTCCCCATCCCGTCCCTCATTCCCGATCCCGTTCCTGCAGCGCTCGGGGTCGGTGCTGAACCGGGGGGTGAACCCCAAAAGCACCTTCTACGTCCTGAACCCACAGCGGGACCTGGGCGGCACCGAGGAGCGCTTCCGGGGGTGGTTTGAGAGGTGGGACCCCAAAAACATCCCTGGGACCCCAAAAACATCCCTGGGATCCCAAAAACATCCATGGGATCCTAAAAACATCCCTGGGACCCCAAAAATCCACCCTGGGACCCCAAAAACATCCCTGGGACCCCAAAAATCCACCCTGGGACCCCAAAAACATCCCTGGGATCCCCAAAAATCCACCCTGGGATCCCAAAAACATCCATGGGATACCAAAAACCCTCTGAAGACCCCAAATCCTGCTCCTTTTCCCCCCATTTTTCCTGTTTTTTTCCTGTTTTTCCCCAATTTTCCCCCAATTTTCCCAATTTCCCATTTTTTCCCCCATTTTCAGTGAGCCAGGCTGGCAGGGGGTGTCGGGGGCCGCCCCCACCCCACAGCAGATGAAGGAGGCGCTGCTGGAGCACGATCTCTACATGTGAGACCCTACAGGATTTGGGGTCATTTGGGGGCTTTTGGGGTCAGTTTGGGGTCAATTTCGGGTGGATTTGGGTGCTGATTTGGGGTGAATTTGGGGTCCGATTTAGGGTCTATTTGGAGTCCATTTAGGGTTCATTTTGGGGTCTGATTTGAGGCCGATTTGGTGGTCTGATTTGGCGTTTATTTGGGATTTTGGTCTTTATATGGGATTTTTTTTTATTTTAGTGTTTATATGGGATTTTTTGGGTAGATTTTTCATCGGATTTTAGGATTTCCTTCGGGATTTTGGTATTTTTTCAATCCTGGCATTATTTTGGGGTCTGATTTGGGATTTTCCCCCCAGTTACGCGGGTCACGGGGCAGGGGCGCGGCTCCTGGAGGGGCAGAGTTCCCGTTCCCAATTCCGGGCCGTGGCGCTGCTCTTCGGCTGCTCCAGCGCCGCGCTGGC